TTTTTTTTATTCTATTTCTTTTGTTTCAATTTTTTTATTTATCAATAATAACTACCCCAGAAAAAAGTCAAAACAATTACTGTTCATCGTCCTCTACCTTTTGCCCTTTCCGTTTCTTTTGTTTCTTTATTTCTTTTTTCTGCAGCTTTCCTCTACTTTCGTTTCTGTTTTTGCTTAACTACTCTAACTAATTAAACTAATCAAATCACATCCTCGCTGTTTTTCCTCCTAAAAATCTAATTAAAGAAAACATCTAAAAAGAGAAGGCCGCAATATTGGTAGTGAAGCAAAACAGCGAACAGCAGAAAAAAAAAATTACTTGACAAACAAAACAAGTGAGAAACAAATGAAGAATACAAATATGGAAGGCGCAGGCAAACCATGAAAAGAAATAACTTAAAAAAAAAACCAAACAATTACCCACGAAGCCAGGAAGAAGATAAGAACAGGACAAAAAAAAAACACCAAAGAAATTAACAATCCACACCTGAAAAATATGAAAAAAATCAAGCTTTATTTCCTTGAAATTCTGATTACAAGCTGCTGCCCTTTCGTTCAACCTCTCCAATGTTCCTTCTAGGCTTGCCAATTCTCTTCCCTTCTCCCTCGATTTTTCTCCCAATTTTCCACCGATTTTCGACCTCCCCTCTCAAAGCCGAAGCTTCCCCTTTTATACAGAAACAGGGAGAACCCAAACCCTTTTCTAATTCTAAATTCTTATCTCAATCCCTAAAATTACAGATAATAATCTAGCTCTATTAGAATTTGAAATTCTAAAACTAATCTAGTTCTTTACACATCTTCCCTCTTTTAAGGCTAGATTCATACCTTTTATGCATTAGGACTCCCACCTTGAATCAATTTCGGACTCTTTGGAGTTGATGACTTACGGTTTGTACATCCTTATCCAAATCCTTCGATTGGCCGAGCTTATCTTCAAAAAATATCCCTTTGGCATCATGTTGGAGCTGATTGAGAAGGGAGGTGCGGCAGAAAAAACAGGGAGGCTAGGGTTCAGCTTTTTATTTTTTAATCCATTGGCAAAACAACGTCATTTTGCCATTTCTTCTTCTTAACCCTTCAAGTTTTCAGTCTTCACAAAAATAGTCCATTGCCTTCTGATTTTAGCATTTAGCCCCTCAGTAAAAATTGGGTTATGACAGTGGGAATGAGAAAGGAAATTGTCATTGTTAGAGCTAAAAGCTCAGTTTAAAAGAACTCAAATTTTGAACTGATTTATAAAGGAATTTTTTTTTTTAAAGTCATGTGAATAGAACCCATTGAGGGAATTTTAATTTGGACCAATGCTCCAATGGTACGAAAAAATGATTGGGAATAGAAGGAAAAGAATTTAGTTTAACTCCAACTAATTTGCATTTTCTGAGAGGATTCTAAATGATTAAAGAAAGCATAGTTTCAAGTGGTTTGTTGGGTGGCATCATTGACCTGTTGAGGTAAGTGTCATTCAAACGCATGGTTCATTGTTCTTGAACTTTTTTTTTTCATTTTTTATGTATCACTGATAAGTTAATGGGTTAAATTTTAATGTTATTGAAGACTGTTGAATTTGCTCATGGGTTTCCTTGTGGCATCATTAACCTGTTGAGGTAAGTGTCAATTTTCTACCCATAGTGTTAGAAAAAAACTGCATGTTATGGTGATTTATTCACATAATTCTTTTCAATAACTTCCAATTGAAAAGATATTATATTTATCTTCTGGTAGTTTTGCAAATTCGCTTATAACCAAGGAAGTCAATATTGTACTGGTATATGTACCGACTTTGTTATTAGAATGGTATGTATTGAATATCGAAATTTTTCGCGTACCGTTTTGGATTTATCGCTATAAATATATGTTTTTATAAATTAAATATCAAATTCTAAAATAAAATAAGAGATATAAATATTTAAAACTATTATATTCCTATAAACTAAAAACAAGTTTAAAA